CCCCCAGTCTCTTGGAGCTACGCCTGTGAGGTAACTAACACGCAAATGCATGCACACACACTTGCGCGCATGTAAACACGCACATGCACACGTCACTGCCAGCTTTCGGTTTATGGCTGAACTTTACCTGCAGTGTTAGTCTACGTCTTATGATAGTTAAAACCCATTATCTGATGAGGACAGGCACTTAGAAGATGGATGGATGAATGGGTGGATGGATGGATGGATGGATGGATGGCAGTCAATGCAGTAAAAAACGCCAGCGCTCCGGTCCAGCACCCTTGAATTCCCTGAGAGTTGGCTTTCGGAGCGACGTTTCTGCTCACTGAGGCGTTATTAGACCTTGCGGGAAAATCGCGTTTGTGTACGGTTATCAGCTCTTCAGAGGTTCGGTGTCCCGGGGAGCATGCTGGTAGCACACGCCGCTGTGTGTGGAGGGCCAGGCGCAGATCAGGCTGAGATGGGACGCGACGTTTCAAAGGTCCCCTCTCCCCTGTTTTGAAGCAGAGACACTAAGCCTGTGACGGATACGCAGGGCCTCGTACGGACAGCTGCACACTCACTGGCTTTGAATTGCATTTCTTCAGGGTGATAGTGACCATGAGGACGATGTTTATTCCTATCATTACTATTTCCTTAGCCGACAATCAGATGATATACAGCTGGTCATTTCAGTGGATCGCTCTAGTATATTAGACAAAAAATGTATAGCTTTAATGGTGAGAGAAAATCTGCCTGCATTTCATGGACGTGGAATTTGAAACTAGTACTTTGTTACAGTACGTTACATAGCAGAAGAGTAATAATAATACTGATTATTATTGTGAGATTTTGGCATTTTTACTAAAGCAGATTTTGAAGCACTTATTTCTTGTAATTTCTTACATATTTATGGGGTTGAAATGAATCCATTAAAATATTTATCCTCATTTTGAGCAAATATTTGTACCATGGGACAGATATAATTGAACAGCTTAGCCCAGCAGCATTACTTAGATTACTAAATAACGCCCAAGAAAAAAAGTAATATATATTGATAGAATAAAATAAACAGGTAACAACCAGGGGTCGTCTGTGGGAGATAACATAAAAAAGCCCTACTGATTATGCAGTTATAAATGTTCCCATGGCAACGGAGATGCCGGAATTCTAGAAAACAAACATGTAAATGAGCCTTCTGACTGACACTGCCTACCTTACCTAATTATCGCCCATTAAATAGAGCCACACCCCCAGGTGCCAGAAAACAAAAGGGGTCACACAGGGACGCGGTCGGCCTATTTCACAGGAGACGTGCAAAACTCGAAATGCAAATGGAACGGAAATAGTTTCTGTGCAAATCAGCCACCAAAGGAAAATTCTCTGACATTATGTCCTACACTTTTACAAATTCTTTCAGAATAAAAGAGTCTTCTCCCAAAAAGAAAGAGATATTTAATATCATAATGCAACATATTTCCAGTTAGTTTTCAGTTAACAAAGACATGCTTCACGCACACAGAATTCAGAGGCAGCCTCGCTAATCACAGAACGGCTGAAACAGTTCAGTCCCTCTGGTTACGCTTGGCATCACAGTCTTTCCTGTTTAGCACAGCAACATGGACCTCACTGCCCCCCATACTTTCCTCAAATAAAAAATACAGATCAATTCCATCACTTTAAAGATGTTGGTGTTTCTTATTCTGTTCTGAAGGTGTTTTCTAAGCAGGGAGGATGCGGGGAGCAGGTTGATTAAATGAATGGACGGGTAACTCCAGGCCTGGGCGGATCCCCGCTGTCGTACGAATATCTGTGCCCTAAGCCAAGCATGGAACCCGGAAAGACACCGCAAGGCAGGGGAGGCGAGCGGTAAGCAAAAACAGCAAGACACATAAGAACATAAGGAATTTACAAACGAGAGGAGGCCATTGGCCCATCAAGCTCGTTTGGGGAGAACTTAACTAATAGCTCAGAGTTGTTAAAATCTTATCTAGCTCTGACTTAAAGCAACCCAGGGAACCACAGCTGTGAGAATAGCCAGGAGTTTAATGCTTGGTTTGAGACACAATCGCACTCGA